TGTAAACTTCCGACTTCAACTGTAGATTCCACGTCACAATACATTGACAAATTACGTTGAAACAACGTTGATTCAACCAGTTTGTGCCCAGTGTGTATGTGTGTTTGGTCTGTGTTTGTGTCTGTGTGTGTACATGTGTGTGTTGCTGACTTTTGTGCACGTTGGTGAGATCAGACAACAACCACATCCTTTGAGTAATATGGACTTGGTCTTTTACCAAATAGGGCTATCTTCTGTATATACCTTCTACCTTGTCACAACACAACTAATTGGCTCAAACTCATTAAGAAGGAAAGAAATTCCACAAATTAACTTTTAAGAAGGCACACCTGTTAATTGAAATGCATTCCATGTGACTACCTCATGAAGCTGGTTGAGAGAATGCCAAGAGTGTGCAAAGCTGTCATCAAGGCAAAGGGTGGCTATTTGAAGAATCTCAAATATAAAATATGTTTCAATTTGTTTAACACTTTTTGGGGTACTACATGATTCCATATGTGTTATTTCATACTTTTGATGTCTTCACTATTATTCTACAATGTAAAATATAGTAAAAATAAAGAAAAACCCTTGAATGAGTAGGTGTGTCCAAGCTTTTGACTGGTAGTGTAGGTCTGACAGGTTTAGTGGTGGCAATAATGTGGTGACAGATGAAAACCATTTATAGCGTTGGCAATGGCAGAATGGTTGTCTGGGGATTGTGTTTTCTCCCCGGTCCCTAAATGTCTTTCGTCCGCAAGAGAAGCAGAGATGAAAAAAGAAAATGTTTCCGATGTCAACTAGATTAAAGCATTCATCATTCTATTGATTTATGACATTATTATGGTGAGCAAGGGTTTTACTACTATGGCAACAAGCAATGACAGAAGAGAAGCTGCATGAATCTAATTATAGACAAGATGACTAATAGCCTACCAAAATGTCAGAAATTATAAGCAGAAACAAAAATCCCCTGCCTCAAAAACAGTCTGTCATCTCTGACTGTAGTCCTACAGGAGGAGGCAGGTGGGAGGACGGCTGGAATGGAATATACGGAACGGTATGGAACACATCAAACATATGGAAACCGTTCCATCAATTCCATTCCAGCCATTACAATGAGCCTGTCCTCCTATAGCTCCTCCCACCAGCCTCCACTGACCTACAGCGCATTTTCTATATTTTGCGAGTTAGGGTCGGGTGTGGGCCTCAGATTTTCATTTTAACACATATAGTCGGGCGGTTGCAGATGGGTTATTAGCAATTGCGGGAGAGTGCGGGTGAACAAAGAGCTGACCCACACGTTCAGTAAGATAAGTTGTGAAGGAAGCTCCAGGCCATAACAAGATGGTGGGAGGTGGAGAGATGTCTGGTCTGTGTGTGTGTGTCTGGTCTGTGTGTGTGTGTCTGGTCTGTGTGTGTGTGTATGTGTGTGTGTGTCTGGTATGTGTCTACGTGTTTATGGTGAACTCAGACAACAACCACATCCTTTGAGTTGAGTATAAATGTAGGTTCAAGGTCAGAGAGAGACCAGAACACCTCACAGCTCTCTTCAGACCAACACCAACACCAGAACTACAGTAGACAGCATCTCTACATCAGAGCTTTCTGAACAACAGGGCAATGACACACTTCAGAGTCCTCAGTCTCTGGGTCGTCACCATTCTCCCTTTGTATCTGCACACAGGTAAGAGTGTGTGTGTGTGTGATATTGTTGGATGTTCTCCATTCTCTTGGTATGTGCTATAGAACAGTGTTACCCAACCCTGGTCCTCCAGTACCCCCAACCCTGGTCCTCCTGTACCCCCAACCCTGGTCCTCCAGTACCCCCAACCCTGGTCCTCCAGTACCCCCAACCCTGGTCCTCCAGTACCCCCAACCCTGGTCCTCCAGGACCCCCAACCCTGGTCCTCCAGTACCCCCAACCCTGGTCCTCCAGTACCCCCAACCCTGGTCCTCCAGTACCCCCAACCCTGGTCCTCCAGTACCCCCCCAACCCTGGTCCTCCAGTACCCCCAACCCTGGTCCTCCAGGACCCCCAACCTGGTCCTCCAGTACCCCCAACCCTGGTCCTCCAGTACCCCAAACCCTGGTCCTCCAGTACCCAGAACCCTGGTCCCCCAGTACCCCCAACCCTGGTCCTCCAGTACCCCAACCCTGGTCCCCCAGTACCCCAAACCCTGGTCCTCCAGTACCCCCAAACCCTGGTCCTCCAGTACCCAGAACCCTGGTCCCCCAGTACCCCCAACCCTGGTCCTCCAGTACCCCCCAACCCTGGTCCTCCTGTACCCCCAACCCTGGTCCTCCAGTACCCCCAACCCTGGTCCTCCTGTACCCCCAACCCTGGTCCTCCTGTACCCACAACCCTGGTCCTCCTGTACCCACAACCCTGGTCCTCCAGTACCACCAACCCTGGTCCTCCAGTACCCCCAACCCTGGTCCTCCTGTACCGCCAACCCTGGTCCTCCAGTACCCCCAACCCTTGTCCTCCTGTACCCCCAACCCTGGTCCTCCAGTACCCCCAACCCTGGTCCTCCTGTACCCCCAACCCTGGTCCTCCTGTACCCCCAACCCTGGTCCTCCTGTACCCCCAACCCTGGTCCTCCAGTACCCCCAACCCTGGTCCTCCTGTACCCCCAACCCTGGTCCTCCTGTACCCCCAACCCTGGTCCTCCTGTACCCAGAACCCTGGTCCTCCAGTACCCCCAACCCTGGTCCTCCTGTACCCCCAACCCTGGTCCTCCAGTACCCCCAACCCTGGTCCTCCTGTACCCCCAACCCTGGTCCTCCAGTACCACCAACCCTGGTCCTCCAGTACCCCCAACCCTGGTCCTCCAGTACCACCAACCCTGGTCCTCCAGTACCCCCAACCCTGGTCCTCCAGTACCCAGAACCCTGGTCCCCCAGTACCCCCAACCCTGGTCCTCCTGTACCCCCAACCTTTCCAAATCATGTCCAATCAATTGAATTTACCACAGGTGGACTCCAATCAAGTTGTAGAAACATCTCAAGGATGATCAATGGAAACAGGATGCACCTGAGCTCAATTTCGAGTCTCACCGCAAAGGGTCTGAATACTTATGTAAATAAGGTATTTCCGTTTTTTTATTTTTATACATTTGCAAAGTTCTAAAAACCTGTTTTCACTTTGTCATTATGGGGCATACTGTGTAGATTAAGGAGGAAAATGTTTAATTTAATCCAGTTTAGAATAAGGCTGTAACATAACAAAATGTGGAAAAGGGGAAGGAGTCTGAATACTTTCCGAAAGCACTGTAACGTTTACTTTTTTAAAAATCTACTGCAGACACATTGTTCAGAAAGTGATACTTTTCTAATAAGAGTTGGATTGAAGTGTTGTATGCAAGGTGTTGGACTCATTTTCAGAATGAATGAGCCTCTATGGATGATATACTGACATGGAGGAAGTCTCAACAGCAGAACAGGACATTTTTATATTTTAATGTGATAAATGCCCTAAAATGTACACTCTTGTTTCATGAGATTATCAAATAAATATATTTAAGCAGTTGAACTTAATTATAAAAAACACAACACAAACTCATGTATCACAAAATGAACATTGCTATCACTAACATTCAATCATTCGACTGATAAAGGACAATTCAAGTAGTCAAATTACTGCTAAAGTTCAGCTAGAACCAGCCGTGGCCGGGTCTGACAATACATATATCTCTCAGAACCAGCCGTGGCCAGATCTGACAATACATACATCTCTCAGAACCAGCCGTGGCCAGATCTGACAATACATACATCTCTCAGAACCAGCCGTGGCCAGATCTGACAATACATACATCTCTCAGAACCAGCCGTGGCCGGGTCTGACAATACATACATCTCTCAGAAAGGCTCTAGTTTCCTTTCTGGCTCTGAGAGGGTCTGTTGTGGTGGAAATCAAACCTCAAGCACCTGAATCATTTCTCACTTCTTATGAGAATAGCCGAGCTAACAAGAAGGTGAAAGGTAACGTAAGTAACACTTGCTGCAGGCCAGAAGAAGATGGTGGGAGATGAGGAGGTGGAGGCCAGAAGAAGATCGTGGGAGATGAGGAGGTGGGGGCCATACGTATCTTATTGAATTTGTGTGTGTATGTGCATGCGTCTGTGTGTCTGTGTTGATTCTAGGTGCTCCAGACATGGCTCAGACAGTCTGCCCCAGCTGAGAGGAGCGGACTTCTACGTGTAGTAGGTTTTCTAGGTGTTCTATGTGTTCTGTGTTCTAGGTGTTCTATGTGTTCTAGGTGTTCTATGTGTTCTGTGTTCTAGGTGTTCTATGTGTTCTAGGTATTCTGGGTTCTAGGTGTTCTAGGTGTTCTTTGCTCTAGGTGTTCTAGCTGTTCTGTGTTCTAGGTGTTATGTGTTCTAGGTGTTATGTGTTCTAGGTGTAATATGTTCTAGGTGTTCTGTGTTCTAGGTGTTCTAGGTATTCTGGTTTCTATGTGTTCTAGGTGTTCTGTGTTCTAGGTGTTCTATGTATTCTAAATGTTCTAGGTGTTTTGTGTTCTAGGTGTTCTTGGTGTTCTGTGTTCTAGGTGTTCTATGTATTCTGTGTTCTAGGTGTTCTAGGTGTTGTGTGTTCTAGGTGTTCTAGGTATAATGTGTTCTCGGTGTTCTAGGTATTCTGTGTTCTAGGTGTTCTTGGTGTTCTGTGTACTAGGTATTATGTGTTCTAGGTGTTCTAGGTGTAATGTGTTCTAGGTGTTCTAGGTATAATGTGTTCTAGCTGTTCTGTGTTCTAGGTGTTATATGTTCTAGGTGTTCCTGGTGTTCTGTGTTCTAGGTGTTCTAGGTATTCTGTGTTCTAGGTGTTCTAGGTGTTCTGTGTTCTAGGTGTTCTAGGTGTTCTAGGTCTTCTGTGTTCTAGGTGTTCTAGGTATTCTGTGTTCTAGGTGTTCTTAGTGTTCTTGCTCTAGGTGTTCTAGGTGTTCTGTGTTCTAGGTGTTCTGTGTTCTAGGTGTTATGTGTTCTAGGAGTTCTGTGTTCTAGGTGTTCTGTGTTCTAGGTGTTCCAGACATGGCCCAGACAGTTTGCTCCAGCTGAGAGGAGCTTGGTTCCACTGGGACTGACGGCCAGGTGCAAAACACGACCCATGTGACCTGAAAAACCATCACAATAACAGCATTATAACAATGACAAAACATGTATCTGGTCTTATCAGGCTCCCCTCTCATCTGTGGGAGTGCAGCAAAGTTTGGTTTAGCTCTTAAATATACAGTGTGCATTAACACTCTGTGCACAGAAACCCATTGTATTACATTTACATTTACATTTTAGTCATTTAGCAGACGCTCTTATCCAGAGCCACTTACAGGAGCATTACTGTGAGTCTCTCACCATGTAGCTGGTAGGTCCAGTGAGGAGGAGTGGTAGTAGTAGTAGTAGTAATAGTAGTAGTAGTAGTAGTAGTAGTAGTAGTAGTAGTAGTAGTAGTAGTAGCAGTAGTAGCAGTAGCAATAGCAGTAGTAGTAGTAGTAGTAGTAGTAATAGCAGTAGTAGCAGTAGCAATAGCAGTAGTAGTAGTAGTAGTATGTAGTAGTAGCGTAGTAGCAGTAGCAATAGCAGTAGTAAGTAGTAGAGTAGTAGGCAGTAGTAGTAGAAGTATATGTAGCCGTAGTGTAGGTACTACGTAAGTATAGTAGTAGTTAGTAGTTATTTGTCATAGTGTAGTACAGTAGTGTATGTGTTGTATGTGTAGTTGTTAGGTCTAGTAGTGAGTGTAGTAGTATATTAGTAGTTAGTAGTGTATAGCAGTAAGTAGTAGAGTAGTAGTAGTTGAGTAAGTAGTTGTTAGTTAGTATTTAGTAGTGTAGTAGTAAGTAATTCACAGGTAGCTGGTCCGTAGTAGAGTAGTAGTATAGTATAGTAGTAATTATATGTAGTAGTATAGTATAGTAATAATAATATGCCTTTAGCAGACATTTTACACACCAAGCGACTTATCATGTGGCATACGGGTGGTCCCTGGGGATCACCCCTACCTCGCTCGTTACAGCCGCATGCTCTACCATTGACTACAGGGACCCCTCTGTTTCGTCGTGTCGTCAGTTCTGTCAGCTGAGTAGTAGTCGTAGTGGTGTGTCGTGTTAGTAGTTGTGTCTCGTAGTCGTCGTAACGTGTAGTCGTTAGTCTGTTTAGGTAGTATGTAGTATGAGTTGTAGTTGTTATAGTCTAGTAGTAGTAGCAGTAGTAGTATGATATACTCCCAGTCTGGTAGGCCTGGTCCAGTGTATAGTTTTGTAGTAGTAATAGCGTATTGTAGCTGGTATAGTCGTAGTGTGTATAGTAGTAGTTAGTAGTATGTAGTATAGTGATAATAACTTAGATATAGTGTCGTAGTGTATAGTATGTAGTAGAATAGTAGTAGTGTCTAGTAGTGTCACTAGTAGTTCTAACAGTATGTAGTAGTGTAGCAGTTAGTTCGTATTATATTATTGATCGTCGTCTAGTAGACATGTAATCATAGTCGGCATGTAGTAGTTGTCGTGTATATGTAGTGTGTATGTCTTTCGTATCTGTGCTTCGTCTACATAGTAGTGTGTCAGTCGTAGTTAGTGTATCGTAGTGTGTATATAGCATTCAGTTACTTAGTCGTAGTAGTAGTATTGTTATCGTCGTATTAGTGGTAGTATCTAGGTCTTGTATAGTAGTAGTAGTATGTGTTGTATAGTATAGTGTCGTCTGTTTCGTCGTTTCTGTGGTATGTGTATAGTAGTAGTAGTAGTACAGTACGTAGTTGAGTTAGTAGTCTCGTTAGTAGTAGTTGTATTAGTAGTAGTAGTAGTCGTAGTACGTATAGTATAGTAGTAGTATAGTCGTATGTGTATTGTAGTCTAGTCGCGTCGTAGTCTCGTAGTGTGTCGTGTTATCGTCGTCGTCGTCGTTCGTGCGTCAGTGTTTCGTTCGTGTCGTCTCTTTCTTCGTCGTCTCGTAGTTCTCGTCGCTCGTCGTCGTCTCGTCGTCCTTCCTCGTCTCGTCGTCGTCTCCTGTTCGTCTCTGTCCGTGTCGTCTCGTCCGCTCCGTTCTGTCGTCTCGTCGTCGTCTCGTCTCGTCGTCCTCGTGTCTCGTCGTCGTCGTTCGTCTGTTGCGTGTCTCGTCGTCTCGTTCGTCTCGTCTCGTCGTCGTCTCTGGTCGTCTCTCGTCGTCTCTTCGTCGTCGTCTGTCTCCGTCGTCTCGTGGTCGTCGTCTTCGTCTCGTCGTTTCCGTCGTCTTCGTCTCGTCGTCGTCGTCTCTCTTCGTCGTCGTCTCCGTCTTGTCTCGTGTCGTCGTCTCTCGTCGTTCGTCGTTCCGTCTGTCTCTCGTGGTCTCTAGTCTCTTCTCGTCGTCGTCGTCGTGTCGCTGTTCGTCTCGTCGTCTCTGTCTGTCTCGTCGTCGTCTCGTCGTCGTTTCGTCGTGTTCGTCTCGTCTCGTCTCGTCGTCGTTCTCGTCGTCTCGTCGTCGTCTTCGTCTCTCGTCGTCTCTCGTCGTCTCTCGTGTCTCGTCGCTCTCTCGTCGTCTCGTCTCGTCGTCGTCGTCTCGTCGTCTCTCCGTCGTCTGTCGTCTCGTCGTCGTGTGTCTGTTAGTCGTCTCTGTCGTCATTACGTGTATCGTCGTGTCTCACTCCTGTAGTGATCGCCTGTCTCTCTTCGATGTAGGCTCCTCAGTTCTGTGGTGTAGACGAATGGCTCGTACGGCCTTCCGTCTCCTCTGGCCTACCCCGACCTCTATGTCTACGTGTAGACACTTTCACTCATCTCTTTGATCCTCCTTGCTATCTCGTGTTGTCCGCTCACAATAGCCTACTTAGGCTCGCTCTTTCAGCTTTGATGCTACTCTAGGTGTCGATCCATCGTACTCTCTGTCGTTCGTCGTCTTATTCCTCTGATCGTCACTATCGTCGTCTGTCTCGTCGATTGCGTTTGACCAGTCATCGATCTCTCTCGTTTAAATGTATCATCGTTGTATCGTCTGTCGTCTTGGATTTAGTCTCGTCATACTTTATATGAGTGTTTTGTCTCACCTTGTACTGTAGGCCTTTCCATGACTGCGAGGGCTCCAGCGTATCTGTGGTCGCGCAGCAGACCAGGCGCCATGAACAACTTCCCTCTCGACCAGAGACCACGCGAACCACATCGCCTTAAAGAACAGAACAGAACTCATGACTATACATTTTGATAACAAGTAACCTAGCAAATTACAATTGGTTGTCGACTCAACAAATAAAGCCTACTATAGCGCAAGCCATTTTACAAGCATTTGAATGCTACTACCTGACATCAAAATACATATCACAATTACTAATACCATGCAGTGCATTGGGAAAGTATTCAGACCCCTCCACTTTTTCCACATGTTGTTACATTACAGCCTTATTCTAAAATGGATTAAATTGTTTTTTTCCCCCCTCATCAATCTACACACACAATACCCCATAATGACAAAGCAAAAACAGATTTATAGACATTTTCGCAAATGTATTTAAAATAAAAAACTGAAATCACATTTACATAAAGTTGAAGTATGAAGTTTACAAACACCTTAGCCCAATACATTTAAACTCAGTTTTCCACAATTCCTGATACCACTTCATTTTAAGAATGTGAAATGTCAGAACAACAGCAAAGGTCCTTGAGAAGATGCTGGAGGAAACAGGTACAAAAGTATCTATATCCACAGTAAAACAAGTCCTATATCGCATAACCTGAAAGGCCGCTCAGCAAGGATGAAGCCACTGCTCCAAAACCGCCATAAAAAAGCCAGACTACGGTTTGCAACTGCACATGGGGACAAAGATCGTACTTTTTGGAGAAATGTCCTCTGGTCTGATGAAAGAAAAATAGAACTGTTTGGCCATAATGACCATCGTTATGTTTGGAGGAAAAAGGGGAACGCTTGCAAGCCGAAGAACACTATCCCAACCGTGAAGCACGGGGGTGGCAGCATCATGCAGCGGGGGTGCTTTGCTGCAGGAGGGACTGGTGCACTTCACAAAATAGATGGCATCATGAGGAAGGAAAATTATGTGGATATATTGAAGCAACATCTCTAGACATCAGTCAGGAAGTTAAAGCTTGGTTGCAAATTGGTCTTCCAAATGGACAATGACCCCAAGCATACTTCCAAAGTTGTGGCAAAATGGCTTAAGGACAACAAAGTCAAGGTATTGGAGTGGCCATCACAAAGCCCTGACCTCAATCCTAAAGAAAATGTGTGGGCAGAACTGAAAAAGCGTGTGCGAGCAAGGAGGCCTACAAACCTGATTCAGTTACACCAGCTCTGTCAAGAGGAATGGGCCAAAATTCACCCAACTTATTGTGGGAAGCTTGTGGAAGGCTACCTGAAACGTTTGACCCAAGTTAAACAATTGAAAGGCAATGCTACCAAATACTAATTGAGTGTATGTAAACTTCTGACCCACTGGGAATGTGATGAAAGAAATTAAAGCTGAAATAAATAATTGTCTCTACTATTATTCTGACATTTCACATTCTTAAAATAAAGTGGTGATCCTAACTGACGTAAAACAGGGAATTTTTACTAGGATTAAATGTCAGGAATTGTGAAACATTGAGTTTAAATGTATTTGGCTAAGGGGTATGTAAACTTCTGACTTCAACTGTATGCATATGTTCTTAATTCAATTCCTTACATAGATTTGTGTGTATTGGGTATTTGTTGTGAAATTGTTAGATATTACTTGTTAGATATTACTGCACTGTCGGTGCTAGAAGCACAAGCATTTCGCTACACCCGCAATAACATCTGCTAAACACGTGTATGTGACCAATACATTTGATATGATTTGGTTCCTGCACAATGCTAAAACACAACCACTCTGCTGTGTGTGTGTGTGGTCTGTTGAGATAGATTAAATATATGAAACGAGTGCGTTGTGTAACACCCACCTGTGAGTTGGTCTGGGCGGAGTCAACGCAGGTCCCTGATTGGTTATTCCAGATCCTCAGAACTCCGTCGCTCTGCCCCCCTCCCGTGGCGATCAGCTCCTTCTGCCAAGGACAACCATGACATAGCCTACACACCACACACACACACACACACAACACACACACACACACACACACACACCACAAACACACACACACACACACACACACACACAACACAACACAAACACACACACCACACACACACCACACACACACACAACACAAACCAACACACAACACACACACACACACAACACAACACACACACACCCACACACACACAACAACATAGAGAAACACGACACACACAAACACACCCACACACACACACACACACACACACACACACACACCACACACCACACACATATATAAGAAACACACACACACAAAGAGACACACACACACACACTCACACACAGAGACACACACACACAAAGAGACACACACACACACACACACACACACACACATTATGATAACCCTAATCTCGTTTAACCCAGAACTAACGTCTCGTGTAAATTGGTCAAATGCTTGATTAAGTTCTAATTAGATCTATAGCGTGTTAAGAGAAGAGATGAAGAGCTCCACCCTCTCTCTCTGGGACAAATTTCCCCTCCCCTTCTGAACACCTTAGAAATTGTGATTTGTCCCCTCCCCTTCTGAACACTCTAGAAATTGTGATTTGTCCAAAAGCCACAGAACTAATGTTGCTCATTATCTCATGCATCCTGTTGTATCATGACAGATCTACGCTACCGTTTATGTTTACATAGTCTGTCCACAAGAGATTACACACACACACTCTGAGGCCACACACCTTGACCGCACTGGGTTGTGTCATTGTCTTGGCAGGTGGGTGTGTCTTCGTCTTAGACCCCAGGTCATTGGTCCAGATGTTGAGGAGGCCGTCTGTTGAGCCACTGGCCAGCCAATCTCCTTGCGGCGCCCACTCCAGCCCACACACGCCCCCTTGTTGGTGGAACACACCCACTGTCGGGGTTTCAAGTCGGTAATCATGGTGATGGATTAGCCCGAGAACAGAACCGCTGTCAGGGACAAGAACAAAGGGATGGATAGTTGTGTTTCTCAACTCATCAAGATCCTTAACAGTACACACAAAAACACACACACAAACATACTGTACACACACACATGTTTGCACGCACGCAGACACACGCACATGCACCTAGGCACACACACACCACACCACACAACCCACCTGCTGAGTACGTGTTGGTTCCAGCTAAGCGCCCCCACTCCAGAGAGGTGTGACGTTATAGTTCTCAGTCTGGTCCTCTTCTCCACATCCCACAACTGGTGGGAGAGGAAGCGGGAGAGGGGCGTGAGAGGTGAGAGGGAGAGGGAGAGGGAGAGGGAGGGAGGGGAGAGGGAGAAGGGAGCAGTTAGCAGAATTGAGGTACTGGAGCTCGGATATATTTCTGGCGATGTTTCTCTTGTATGCTCGCTTTTCTCTTGCGGTCGCTTCTTTCTCTTTCTCTTTCTCTTTCTCTCTTTTGCTTATCTCTCTCTCTTTCTCTCTCTGTTCTCTTCTCTCTTTCTCTTTGTCTCCTCTTCCTTTCTTTTCTTTCTCTGGTTCGCAGTATTTTCTATTCTTTTGTTATTGTTTTTGGCGTTTTCGTTTCACCTGCTTTTTCTCTCTCTCTCTCTCTCTCTCTCTCCTCGATCTCTCGCGCATATCTCCTCTCGATCTCTCTCTCTCTCGCTCTTAGCTGTTTTCTCTTTCTCTCGTTTTGTTCTCTTTTTTTCTTTCTTTTTTCAGTTCTCTCTCTTTTTTCTCTCTCTAGCGCTCTCATCTCTCTCTCTCTCTCTCTCGGCTCTCGCGCTCGCCTATCGCTCTACTTCTGTATACTCTTCTCGATCTGACTCTCTCTCTCTCTCTCTATCTCTCTCTCTATCCTCTCTTTCTCTTGTCTACGTGTCACTACCAACTCACTATGTTAGACTATATACCACGCACCTTTTTTTTGCCTGTTCCCTCCGCTACCCCTACCCCTCAAACTGGTAAGACAGAAGCAGGAAAATCACTCACTCACGCAACTCGACTACTCCTAAATCACTCCACTGTGTTTGATGATGTGATATTGTTGTGTCTACCTTCAACATGAAGACCTGCCAATAAACAATCCAACAAACACAAAGGAAACAACACAAATATAACATGCATTATATTAAAGCAGCCAGGTCACCCGTGATACAAGTCAGTATTTGACATCCATCCATGTCTGAGGACGTCGGGAGATGACGTGGAAACCGGCCACTAGGGGCAACAGTGAGCGCTGTTACCTTCACCTAGGTTTCAGTTGTGGATGGTGGATGGGCGTAAGCATTTGCCTCTGATTCCAAAGGTTGCAAGTTTGAATCCAGTGATAAAAAGTAGTTTCTGAGATTTCTGTTTTAAGCCAATCCCAAATCTTAACCCTAACCTTAACCATTCGGAGTTAATGCCTAACCTTAATATTTCAGAGTTAATGCCTAATCTTAAAAAAGTCTGACTAAATGCCTAAACTTAACATTAAACACTTCAAAATTTGACATTTGCAACAACTTTGAAATGTGATGTTTGAGAAACATGGATGAACGTCTACTTTTGACGTGAGACTGTGAGAGCTGGTTGATTAAAGATGCACTCTAGAACTTTGGTGCTCGCAAGCTTAGAAAGTGGTCCCCGTTTTTTGTGTACTACGTCATCCAATTGTTTACTACGTCATCCATTTCGTGTGATATGTTACGAATCAAATTTGTGCAATATGTCTTTTTTATTTAATTTTAATTTTGGGGTGGGGGGTGGAATATCAGCTTTAATATTACAGATAGATTGTAGGTTCTATCAATTTAATTATTTGCAGGATTTCAAATTTGTGCAATATGTTACGAATTTCGTTCCGCTAAGGGTCGAGCACGTTTGTCTCTACCTGTACGCCCCCCTCCTTGGTCCCGATGCTCAGTGTACATCCATCTCTGCTCCAGGACACAGACGAGACAGAGTGAGACAGGCTCAGCGGGAGAGACGGTGAGTCTGCTGCTCTGGGATGGATACAGCCCTGCAGAGTGTGTGTGTCTGCCTTCCACAGGAACACATCCGACCCCAGGGCCAGGGCCACCATACCACTGTTACTCCAGTCCAACAGGTGGCTATCTGAGGAGAGAGCAGAGGAGATAGTAGGTTTGTTCATTTTTAAATCTATTTAAACATAGTATTTGTAGTTACAGTATTTTATTAAATAGACAGCTCGGTTTGTTTAGTGTATTATCACAACAAGTTCAAGTCAAATTGTGTACATATGTGAGGTTTGAGTTCGACCTACATACAATCTGATTGTGACGACAAACACTGAAAACTGCATATGACTTTCCAGTGAAGTTAATATATCGCCTGATCTTGGATTTTATATTTCACTTCCTGGAGAATCCGTTAAATAGCGGTTGCGTCACTCTATACTTTCCATTAACTAGAAGGTAAACAAACACAAGCATTACCAAACTGATACCAAAACACACACACACACTCCCGGAAATTCATCATCCAACAAAGATCTGGGTAAAGATTTCAGACGTAACCCTATCCAACAGACAAACGTCCATTCTTTCCACTGCTATAACAGCAAAGATCCCACACCAAGAATAAAAACTACAGTATTTCAACGGTTTTGTTCCCCCAGGTCCCCAGGACGTCGGGAGATGCCTTCAATACCGTCACTACGGGCAACATGAACACATGTTACCATTAAACTGCGCACTTCAGCTCCGAGGATCGCAGGTTCAATCCCAAAGGCTAGGCACTCATGTTTATTTGTTTTCTGTTTTAACCTTATCCCAAACCTTAACCCTTACCTTAACCAGTGGTAATGAATGCCTACACCTAACCATCCATGTTTTATGCTTAATCACTTGACCGCTTTGGTAGCTATAGCACAATGGATAAGCTTGGTAGCTATAGCACAATGGATAAGCTTGGTAGCTATAGCAACACAATGGATAAGCTTGGTAGCTATAACACAATGGATAAGCTTGGTAGCTATAACACAATGATAAGCTGGTAGCTATAGCCAATGGATAGCTTGGTCGCGATAACAATGGATAGCATGTAGCTAGAACACAATGGATAAGCGTGGTAGCTAGAACACAATTGAGAAGCTTGGTAGCTATAGGCACAGGGTAAGCTTGGTAGCTATAAACACAATGATGAAGGCTGGGTACTATAACACAATTGTCTTAAGGCGTGGTAGCTATAATACGATAAGCTGGTAGATATAACACAATGGAATAAGCAATTTTAAGGTTCTACTTCTTTGGTTGTATATGTTCCTTATGTCGCATTTTTGAATCCCTCTCTCTCTCATTTCTCTCTCTCCTCTCTCTTCTCTCATCGCTCTCTCTTCTCGCACGCTCTCCTCCTCTCTCTCTCCACCTCTCTCTCCTCTCTCGCATCTCTCTCTCTCCCTCTCCTCTCTCTCTCTCTCTTCTCTCTCTGTCTCTCTCTATCCCCTCTCTCTATTCACTCTCTCTCTCTCTCTCTCTCTCTCTCTCTCTCTCTCTCTCTCTCTATCACTCTCTCTCTATCACTCTCTCTGTCTCTCTCTATCTATCACTCCCTCTCTTTTTCTTTCTCTCTTTCTGTGTGTGTGCGTGCGTGTGTGTCGGTGTGTGTGTGTGTGCGTGTGCATGTGTTTACGTGTGTGTGTGTGTGTGTGTGCCATGCACTCACAGTAGTCGTCCTGCAGTGATGGCAGCGCCAGAGTCAGCTGTGGTTTCGACTGGTCTGGAGACAGGTCTGGAGTAGAGGGAGCCCTATACAGGACAGAGAATGGCTGCAGGGCAGAATCCCACACAGAGACACACACAGTCAGGTATAAAACACACCGTGAAATCATACTGTAGCACAGGAGGCCAGTGGCACCTTAATTGGGAGGACGGGCTCATAGTAATGGCTGGAACGGAATTAATGGAATGGTATCGAACTCATCAAACACATGGTCTCCATGTGTTTGATGCCATTTCATTCACTCCATTCCAGCCATTATTATGAGCTGTCCTCCCCTCACCAGCCTCATGTGTACTGTTGATACAGTAGTAGTAAATATAAGTCATACTGTACCTGCCTTCTCTGAGCATCTCTCCTGTTCTCTGGAAGCAGACCACACCCAGTCCTACAACAGCAACAACAACATCAACAACAACAACAAACAACATGTTCTCCAGAAGCAGACCACAACCAGTCCTATGACAACAAAAACAACAACACGTCCAACAACACAAACACATCTTGTTATTTACAGTACATCCAAAGGGTGGGGGGGATTAGTGGTTAGGTTTAGGGGTTGGGTTCCGGGTTAATGTTAGGGTTAGGGGTTAGGGATTAGTGGTTAGGTTTAGGGGTTGGGTCCCGGGTTAATGTTAAGGTTAGGGGTTAGGGATTAGTGGTTAGGTTTAGGGGTTGGGTCCCGGGTTAATGTTAAGGTTAGGGGTTAGGGATTAGTGGTTAGGTTTAGGGGTTGGGTCCCGGGTTAATGTTAGGGTTAGGGGTTAGGGATTAGTGGTTAGGTTTAGGGGTTGGGTCCCGGGTTAATGTTAAGGTTAGGGGTTAGGGTTAAGGTTAGGGGTTAGGGGTTAGGGTTAAGGTTAGGGTTAGGGTTAAGGTTAAGGGTTAGGGTTAAGGTTAGGGGTTAGGGTTAAGGTTAGGGGTTAGGGTTAAGGTTAGGGGTTAGGGTTAAGGTTAGGTGTTAGGGTTAAGGTTAGGGGTTAGGGTTAAGGTTAGGGGTTAGGGTTAAGGTTAGGGGTTAGGGTTAAGGTTAGGTGTTAGGGTTAAGGTTAGGGGTTAGGGTTAAGGTTAGGGGTTAGGGTTAAGGTTAGGGGTTAGGGTTAAGGTTAGGGGTTAGGGTTAAGGTTAGGGGTTAGGGTTAAGGTTAGGGGTTAGGGAAAATAAGATTTAGAATGGAAATCAAACGTAGATCTCCACAACGATAGAAGAACAAAATGTGTGTGTGTGTGTGTGTGTGTGTGTGTGTGTGTGTGTGTGTGTGTGTGTGTGTGTGTGTGTGTGTGTGTGTGTGTGTGTGTGTGTGTGTGTGGATAGACCTGTTTAGGCACATTCCTCCTGTAAGTGGTTGATGCTGTGATCGGTCTGAAGACATTACTGTGTGACACTCCGGCCTCCACCACTGTGTCTGACAGAGAAAGGTTACACCATCAGCTTGCATCATGTATACTGTTGCAACATGCAACAATTTCAACGATTTTACTGAGTTACAGTTCATATAAGGAAATCAGTCAATTGAAATAAATAAATTAGGCTCTAATCTATGGATTTCACATGATTGGACAGGGGCCCACCCACTGGGAAGCCAGGACCAGCCAATCAGAATGAGTGTTTCCCCACAAAAGGGCTTTACAGACAGAAATACTCTTTTTATTGTCCCCAGCACAAGGTGCACCTGTGTAATCATCATGCTGTTTAATCAGCTTCTTGATATGCCACACCTGTCAAGTGGATGGAGTATCTTGGCAAAGGAGAAATGCTCACTAACAGGGATGTAAACAAATTTGTGCACAACATTTGAGAGAAATAATATTTTTTGTGCGTATGGAAAATTTCTGGGATTTTTTTTATTTCAGCTCATGAAACATGGGACCAACACTTTACATGTTGCATTTATATTTTTGTCCAGTGTATGTCTGTGTACCTTTACAGTCATTGGTGTTTACAGTAAACAGGCAATGAGATGAGGCCCCTTTTTCACCTAACCAACATCGTGTGAATGTGTGGATGTTTCAAATATAGAAGTAGATCTAGTAGAGTTAACTGTTAAACCTGTAGTATATTATTTATTATTTATATTATAAGAAAATGTCCCTTTGGGATATTAAAATATTCCCTTCATTCATGAATTCATTCAAACCTTGAAGACTTGTCTCTGTGCTCTGCTCTTGTGTCAGTTTTGTTCTCGCTGCGCCCCCTGACGGTGAATCCAGAGACAGTCTCTGACAGACCGTGTCAAACTCCCGGTAGGGCGAACGGCGCCCCCTGGAGGCCACGGGGCTACTAGCTAAAGGCTGCTCCGCGCTCAGCCGCCTGCGCACCATCCGCCTCTTGAAGCGCTTGTATGATGATGAGAGATGAAGCGCCTCAATGCCTGTCTAAAAAAGATGTAAATAGAGTTGACATTAGAATAATGGCTAATAAAACATGAGTTATTAACTGTAAGGATCAATTGTATGCTTATTGTTCACATCTTCAATGTTATGCAAAGTTTTTTTTAATGTAGGCCTAGCCAAAAAATAAATCAGAGTTTTGCTAAATCGCCATAAAAGCTCTAAATTCCTTTAGTGAAATCTGATGCCTAACACATAACAGACCTCCTCCAAAACCCTGTTGCCTCCTCAATCTGCTATGCGCCCATCCAGGCAGCCAGCCAGACTCAACCCAATCCTCATTCACAAACTCCTTCCCCCGCCCCAAGCTATCCTTGTCCCCGTCCAAGATGGAGGCGCTGGAGGTTTTGGGGGGCTACCCGACCAAGTCCTCTAACCCTCGAACACGAATGGTCAGTGTTCTACTGAGTATGACGGTTGTTATGGGATGTTTATTAATGCTACATAGTTTTCTCAAAATCGGCAAGTCGCGGAAGCCGCAAGATTTCTACTCTTTTGAGATGAAGGACGCCAAAGGGAGAAGCGTTTCTCTGGAGCGATACCGAAGCAAAGTAAGTACACATCAGTAAAACTCAGCAAGTAAACTAACTGAACTTTGTGTAGGCGTACTGATGATTTTGATGGTTTCTGTGATTTAGCACGTTTTCCCCCCAAAAAGTATAATATTTAGGCCTAATGTTTACTTTTCTCTGGTTGTCAACGTGGCGAGCCACAGAGAAGAACTATCACTCTCTGCGAGAGCTGCACCGCGAACTGGGGACGTCCCATTTCAACGCGCTGGCTTTTCCCTGCGGCCAGTTCGGGAAGACCGAGATGGGGGCCAGCCGGGACATTGAGGCCTACGCCAAGAACACCTATGATGTCACCTTCCCCATCTTCAGTAAGATCTAAATCATGGGATCGGAGGCGGAGCCAGCTTTCAAATTCATAACAGGTAAGCACAGTAGGCTTATCATTAGACCAGAGATCTGGGGCGGCAGGTAGCTTAGTGGGTAAGAGCGTTGTGCCAGTAACCAAAAGGTCGCTGGTTCTAATCCCTGAGCCGACTAGGTGAAAAATCTGTCGATGTGCCCTTAAGCAAGGAACTTAACCCTAATTGGTCCTGTAAGTTGCTCTGGATAAGAGCGTCTGCTAAATGACTAAAATGTAATCAAGATAGTTTAGTATGTTGTCACGATCGTCATAATGAGTGGACCAAGGCGCAGCGTGATATGCGTACATCTCTTTAATAGTGTACTTAGCAACACGATACATATAACAACAAAACAAAACGTGAAGTCCTCGGTCATGAACACAAACCTACACGGAACAAGATCCCACGAATCACAAGTGCACAAAAGGCTGCCTAAGTATGGTTCCCAATCAGAGACAACAAGCAACAGCTGATTCTCGTTGCCTCTGATTGAGAACCATCCCGGCCAACATAGAAACACATAACCTAGAACAGAACATAGAAAACGAAACATAGACACTACACAAGGAAACTAACACCCTGGCTCACCATACAAGAGTCCCCAGAGCCAGGGTGTGACATATGTTTCTAAGGACAAGAAGAACAAGGTGAAGTTTATCACAGGTAAACAAAGCTTAGCCTACATGCCCTTTTCATCTTTAGTCTAAATAAAGTAGTTATTTTCTATTCTATTCAAGATAATGTTTTTCATGGACACTGTGGCTGTAGGAGGAATTGCTGGTATTATAGCACATTGGCACACAACACAACATAGAACATTGGACCTTAGTAAACGTTTGTTTCCATTCGCCAGATTACAGATTCTATAAAAGAAGATTCCAAAGTGGAACTTCTGGAAGTTCCTGGTGAACCCTGAGAGCCAGGTGGTGAGATACTGGAAAGGCAGAGGAGCCCACCAAAGAGAGCGTGCGTAAGGAGGCCACGACCGTGGTGCGTGAGATCATTCTAAAGAAAAGGGCAGAGCTCTAACAGGTTTGAACTTGGAGATGGTGAAGACAGCCTGGGGTACTGTATGATGGACGAACATTTCAACAGACTTTATTACCCTGTGGTATGGAAAATTATTTGCCACTTCGCCAAAACTTTGCAGAAGATCAGCAGCAGTGGAAAGAATAAGAGCTCTAGTTGTGTGTGTGTGGGTGTGTGGTGGTGTGTGTTTGGTTGTGTGTGAGTGTTGTGTGTGATGAGTGATGTGTGTGTATGGTGTGTGATGTGTGTGTATGTGTGTGTGGTGGTGTGTGATGTGTGAGGGTTGTGTTGTGTGTGGGTATTGTGTGTGATATTTGTTTGGTGTGGGTGCTTTTTTTATGTGTGCGTGTGGTGTGTGTGTGGGGGGGTGTGTGGGTGTGTTGTGTGTGGTGTGTATGGGTGTGCGTCCTGTGTGGTGGGGGGTGATTTGTGTTGTGTGTGTGTGATGTGTGTGTGGTGTTGGGGTGGGTGTGTGTGTGTGTGGGTATGGGTGTGCGGTGTGTTGTCTCTGTGTGTGTGTGTGTGTGTGTGTGTATGGCGCTGTGTGTGTCTCTGTGTGGTGAGTGCGTTGTGTGTGTGTGTGTATGTGTGTGCGTGTGTGGGTCTCTGTACACTTAACTGTGAGAGACGGAATCTAAACAAAAATCAGAAGAAAATCACATTGTATGATTTTTAAGTAATAATTTGCATTTATTGATGAGGCTCGTTAGTGTGTTACTAATGGTTTTCTTTGAGACTAAAATGTAAATGTAAATGTAGTCAGTCACATGTCGTGATATGGAAGTACGTGTAACTGCTGAACTCAAAACAGCCAGCTAACACAGCACTGCCTCATCGTGACACGGATCCTATCTCCTCGCCTCCTATCACCTCGCCTCCTATCTCCTCGCCTTCTCAACCGTGTTGGAGGAGAAGGTCCAAGGTCCTGCCGATCAGGACTTCTTCTCCAATTAGTTTTGAGAAGGAGATGAGAAGATGCAACGAATTAATGAAAGATTAGTTGAGAAAAAGCCATAGAGATGTATAGATGGCTCAACTTGGATGTAACGCGTTTTAACATGGACATTGCTATTGAGGGCTTTCACCATTTAAAAGTAGTCAACTGGATTGGAACTTCCTATGGGTTAAGGAAGGTTCACACGACTCAACCGGGTCATCCAACCGGGTCATCAGGAGGGATCATCCAACCGGGTCATCAGGAGGGATCATCCAACCGGGTCATCAGGAGGGATCATCCAACCGGGTCATCAGGAGGGATCATCCAACCGGGTCATCAGGAGGGATCATCCAACCGGGTCATCAGGAGGGATCAACCAATAAATTATACTTGTGAAGAAGAAAATTGACTACTGCATTTAGATTTTTTGTCATTTAGCAGACGCTCTTATCCAGAGCGACTTACAGTTAGTGCATGCATAAAAAAAAAAAAAAATCATACTGGCCCCCCGTGGGAATCGAACCCACAACCCTGGCATTGCAAATGCCATGCTCTACCAACTGAGCTACATCCCTGCCGGCCATTCCCTCCCCTACCCTGGACCAGTGATGGTTTACATCAGTTCTCACCAACCGGTCGATCGCTATCGACTGGTCGATCTCCAAGGCATTCCTAGTCGATCGCCAAACAGTTCTGTAAAACCCAACGATAAAGCCTTACGTTCCTATTTTGTATTTAATTGTCTCGCGCTGTTGGCTGTAGGTGATTCAGCTGCCCAGCGCCAACTGTTCCCATTTCATGTGTCTGAAGGTACAAACTCTGCCTTCCCGGTGGGGCCCGGAAAGAAAATCAAGTGCACTATAGTCCTACCGCTGGCCAATCGGATGGCTCAGATTATCGTGTCTGCAGTAACGTAGCAGGCGTAAAAGAAAAACGTTGATAAGTTGATACTGTGAGATATCTCACTCAGCAATGTCAAAACTTTTTATTCAACACTTTTATAAACCATAAAAATGCATGTTCTTCCTACTTCCATTGGCGCTACAACCAGTACTGCAGCTGTAATGAATGAGTAGGGAAGTGTATCGATAGGCTTGCGTTGTTATTATTAGCTTGGGTATTTTTTTAATATCAAGGAATATTTCACTTTCTCTGGTCATAGGAGTAACAACCTGAATTTGTGCATGAGGCAGAAATAATGAGGTGCGACTCGAGTTTCGCCAGCTGGAAGACGGTGTCACTTTTTGGTCAGTGTCAGCGGAGGAAAGGGAGAGAGGAGGGACGTTGAGAGGCAGCGGGAGGAAAGGGAGAGAGGAGGGACGTTGAGAGGCGGACCATCAGTCTGCTGCTCTGTCCCTCTGCTGAGACCGACCATCAGATGCAGGCACAATCAGCCCAAGTTGTCTGAGCTAACATTTTTGTATTATTTTATATATATATATCATTTGTTATTTGTTGCTGGACATTAAAGACTGTAACACACCAGGAAATCAGCTATTTTAATTTTGGAAATCTGAATTATTCCCACGCATAAGAGAGAGACACGTGATCGTATATACAAATGTAAGCAAGGTTTGAAATGATTATGTTTTAGTCAAACGTTATAACTGTTTGGGCTTCTTGCGGTCAATTTGCAGTCTACAAATGATGTATAATTATGTTCCGGCCCCCTGACCATCCGCTCGAGAAAGAGATCGTCCCATGGCTGAATCTGGTTGATGATCTCTGCTGTACTGTGCAGCCGTTAGAGATGGTGACGTCAAAGGACCAGTGATGGATTTCATGATCTCTGCTGTACTGTGCAGCCGTTAGAGATGGTGACGTCAAAGGACCAGTGATGGATTTCATGATCTCTGCTGTACTGTGCAGCCGTTAGAGATGGTGACGTCAAAGGACCAGTGATGGATTTCATGGACAGCTAGAGGGCAGCAGCAGGGAAGCTGGTAAAACAAACCAATCAGCTAACAAGACACTGCCTCCCAGCCGCCCAATCCGAACAGAAGAGAAGGCAGGGGCGGCCAACCCTCTTCCTGGAGAGCCACCAGGGTGTGTGCAGGCTTTTGGCTCCAGCCCTGCTCTACCACACCTAATTCAGCTAATCGAAGCCACAAAGAGAAGTTGATTAGTAGAATCGTAGAATCAGGTGTGTTAGAGTAGGGTTGGAGAAAAAGCCTGTGCACAACCAGGTGGGTTAAATCCTTGGCGGGTGGAGGCGGAGTTTCGGGTGAGAGGTTAGGGAGCAGCTGTAGCGTGAGCTGACAAATGAGATAACAGTCAGCTAACATTACACTGCCTACTAACCAATCACGTTACATTACACTGCCTACTAACCAATCACGTTACATTACACTGCCTACTAACCAATCACGTTACATTACACTGCCTACTAACCAATCACGTTACATTACACTGCCTACTAACCAATCACGTTACATTACACTGCCTACTAACCAATCACGTTACATTACACTGCCTACTAACCAATCACGTTACATTACACTGCCTACTAACCAATCACGTTACATTACACTGCCTACTAACCAATCACGTTACATTACACTGCCTACTAACCAATCACGTTACATTACACTGCCTACTAACCAATCATGTTACATTACACTGCCTACTAACCAATCACATGTTGAACAACTCTCTTAACCAATCCAATCACAGAAGTCAGCTGACATTACACTGCTTACTAACTAATCACACATTATATTATACACTCTTAGAAAAAAAGGTACTATCTAGAACCTAAAAAGGTTATTTGGCTGTCCCCATAGGAGAACCCTTTGAAGAACCCTTATTGGTTCCAGGTAGAACCCATTTGGTTCCAGGTAAAGAAAGCCCTTTTGGGTTCCATGTAGAACCCTTTCCACAGAGGGTTATACCTGGAACCAAAAAGGGTTCTCCTTTAGGGACAGCCAAAGAACCCTTTTGGAACCTTTTTTTCTAAGAGTGTACTAACCAAGCACATTTCACCACTGTTTCTTAACTAATTACATAATATGT